ACTGCCATACTTGATGCATACATGTGACTTTCTAATACTGCCATACTTGATGCATACATGTGACTTTCTAATACTGCCATACTTGATGCATACATGTGACTTTCATTACTGCCATACTTGATGCATACATGTGACTTTCATTACTGTCATACTTGATGCATACATGTGACTTTCTAATACTGTCATACTTGATGTATACATGTGACTTTCTAATACTGCCATACTTGATGCATACATGTGACTTTCTAATACCCAATTCTACAAGCTGCCGAAAGATGATGGTGTAGAGATGTTTTTTAACGATTTTATTACATACATTTTGTAAATAAAGATTTAGTTATACATGGTATATCCATATAGAATTGGTTTGTTTGTTTTAGAGCAGAACCACATTGGGCTATCTGGTGTGTCCACCACTGGGAATCGAACTCCGGACTTTAGTGTTGTAACTCCGTAAACTTGACACTGTCCCACAGGGGGACTACCAATATATAGTAACATGAGCCAGCTATACGTTTATGGTCTTATAAAACTAAAATCCAAAGTTCAGTCTCCCGTGGTTGACAGAGCGAGCATATGGACCCCTGTGTAGTTTTGCGCTAAAACAAACAAACAAATAAGACTATAAAAAAATTTAAATTATTATGTCTTAAAAAATACTTGTCCTAGGGGAACACATTTTAACCAGAGACACATTGAGAATGATAAGTTTTGAAGATAGTTTTTATAAAAATCACACTAGAACGTACATATTTTCTGTCACACTTCCAATTAGTCAGTTGCGGATTTCAAATCAGAGGCGTGTGTAAGAAAAGGATTATTTTAAATATAGTTGCTGTCTGTTATATACATCACTGTTCAATTGGTTTCTTGCTTCAATACCAGAAGTTGTTAGCTAGGTTGAACGTGACCTTGGAAAAAAAAATCGATGAAAGGTGCTATTTTATATGCAGTACGAAACATTTAGTGTCACCGTGTTAAACGCCAAAAGATGACGAAACACTAAGACCAATAGGTCCAGTATTAGCAATAAAATTAACTCTACCTACATTACAGGTTGTTGTTTTAACTTGTTCCTCTTAATTACACCATTGTGAATTTTGAATTTATTTTCTGTCTTTGAACGTTTCTTATTTGAAATCCGCAATGGACTAATTAAGAAAAATGAAACAAATAAACTGAGTCTAATGTAATTTCTATCACTAATACTAGTAATATTAGGCCTATTGGCTTCATTGCTTCGCCAGCTTTAGATATTTGACACTGAAGCCAGAACAACGAATATCCACGAATAATGTAAGTTTAACAAAAAGTAATAAATCTAGCCTTGTTTATTTATATTATGCTATTACTTAGCTGTTGGGTATTTTGTCCCAAATTTCGGCAGAACCAATAATTGTCATATGAAGTTATATGTCACAAAAGGTTGTTATAAAAAACGTACAGCTAAAAATAAATAATTATATTCAAAGTTGTTGTACTTCTAACTTGATCTGGGCACTTTCGGAAGAAGCTTATCTCATTACCCGATGACCTTAAGATACTATTGATAAAATACACACACACAAACCGCTAAAATGTAACAAATGGTACTTTACCTACATGGGGACATCGACACAATACTTGAAAAATAAAGTACTGTCGACAAGCAATCAGAAATAATAGTCACAGTAGAAGGATAAGCACTTCCTGTTCCTCCTCCCCCTGTAGATGGTGTTCGTTGTAATGGCTCCGGTCATGGGCTATTGCTCTGCATTGTGATTTACATTGCAAGAGGCAATGCACTCAATTTATAGCCCTCCCTTTCATTTTTACACGTTTTCCAAAGTACGTGGTCAACTGTGCGCAGTCGTCAACTTTCTAGGGCCTGTTTGGGTACCCCAAAGACACAGATGTCCATGGAAAATGTCTGCGAATGATAGCATCTATTTCCTTTCATATTTATATCTTGAGGACGAGTTGACAAAATGACTTAGAAGTGCTCTATATTGACATTATTAGCAGTACCCATTCTCGCTTTTCTAGACCTAAATTTGTGTGAATTATTTTTTTGATATATATCAAGAGAGAGATTCCTACTTTAGCTGCAATAAATTGATTTGTTCTTGGGTTTCTTCTGGTAACTAACTGTTTTTATTCACCATATCTAGTGTGTGAAATGTAGTAGATCGTGTTGTTACGTCTCTGTATGTTTGTTTGTTAATTCTTCTAAGATACAAGTCCTTTGTTTATAAAACTTGTTTATTCTTCCTCAATACAACTTTGTAATGTACTTGATTTTCACAGTTACACACACTATAGTTCACAACAATTCACTCACTTTCTATCGCCCTTAGACTTAATTGTCCGTCCCTGCAAATTATAGTTCCGATCTCTGTGTCTGTTATCCTCAGTTCCCGCCGACCGTAATTGCTGCCTCCCTCACTGTCTAGCGCACTTATATACGATAATACTGCCTGTTCTAGAAACTTCTAAGACTCTCAACACGTGCTACCAGCGTCACTTGACTTCCGCTGTCGTAACACACTAGCGAATCTTCTAGAATACTCGTTGATGAAGGTGGGGTTCGGTATATTTTTCTCTTTATTTTTAGTTTCATTAACAGTACTGGTAAGAATGTTTAATAAATTTAATTTGTTATTATAATATTTTGATTATAAAGATAGTTCTATGTTAGGTTACTATATGGCTTTAGGGCTAGCCTAGATCTTCCAAGCTGGCTGAATCTCGAAAGATAGTAGTGTTTATAGCCAAAGATACTGTTAACAGTACCCAGATGATGAAACAATGCAGTCTAATGTTTATAAATAAGAGCGCAATAGCCAAAGATACTGTTAACAGTACCCAGATGATGAAACAATGCAGTCTAATGTTTATAAATAAGAGCGCAATAGCCAAAGATACTGTTAACAGTACCCAGAAGATGAAACAATGCAGTCTAATGTTTATAAATAAGAGCGCAAGAAACGTATACCTAATTAGCCATACGCGTTGATTTAAATGTACACTTAATGAGCTATATTCAATACCGGGTTGATTTTTAGTTTTGACCTAAGTGAGTAGCTTATTCTTATAAGGAAATAATAGTTTTAAAAGTTAACTTTCATATTAACATTTTTTCATATTCAACATAGTTGTAAAAATATATAAAAAAATCCAATACTGAGAAACTTCCTTATGCCATCTGAGAATTTTATCGAGTCTTGTATAACCTTATGTCTAAACACGTCCACCACAACGGCCGCCATGTTTGATCCCCGCATGTTTACAATGTCGTTTCACCGGTAAAGGCATGTTAACCTGGCTAGAACGGTCGCCACGAAACCGTCAAACAGTCCTCGTGGTTCTGTTTGAAAGTCGTCACTTCTTAAGAACATACTCAACTTCCTAAAAATTCTAATATAGAGAAGATATTTCACTCATAACAATGACAAGATTGTCTTACTAATAAGGGCTACTATAAGTTTACATTACAAACAGGTAATATATAGGAAATGTAACTTAGTAACGTTTGTACCTGATGATGACAAAACCTTGTACATTTACTGTTATGTTAAACGTATATTAAAGTTTTTCTTCATTACCCATTCAAGCTGTCTCCAAGCATTATTAGTATCGTTTATTCTATGTCGAGCATTATGTGGTATTATCCCACTTAAATATCGCATCGTAACACAACTGTAGACTTTAGAAACGGCCCCGTACTTGCATTATGTGGTATTATCCCACTTAAATATCGCATCGTAACACAACTGTAGACTTTAGAAACTGCCCCGTACTTGCATTATGTGGTATTATCCCACTTAAATATCGCATCGTAACACAACTGTAGACTTCAGAAACTGCCCCGTACTTGCATTATGTGGTATTATCTCACTTAAATATCGCATCGTAACACAACTGTAGACTTTAAAAACTGCCCCGTACTTGCATTATGTGGTATTATCCCACTTAAATATCGCATCGTAACACAACTGTAGACTTTAAAAACTGCCCCGTACTTATCTCCACATCAACAATAAAGGCTTCGAACTGAGAAACGTACAATGCTATGTCTAATAAGCTGATAAGACGGCCGAATTTAGATTCTTCCCGCTATATCACTTTCGTCGTCACAACGAAAAGATCTGTTACGCTGTGGCGTGTTTTAACCCTTTCGCTGCGATGTGAGTAGAGTCCTACGTCATGTTATCTGTTTGTATGTGTGCGTTGTGCCGTAGAATCTACAGGATATTCTAACCTTCTTTCTCTATATCCTGACACAGCGGTAGTTGCCTTGGCTACGCATATAATGCATCTCAGGGGAATCCCCACGTTTTCCAGTGATTATACCATATGTTATGTAGATAATGCGATTACGACATAAAAACCACAAGATAATATGACATCACAGAAGTTTGGAATAAATCCTGTAGCTTCTCCGACATTCAGTGCTTTACATGTGCAGCTGTTTAACCGTCATAAACTTGTAAAAAAGAAAAGAAGTGAGAATCAATTATGCTTTCCCTTGTACAAGAGGCTTCCCTCCCAGACAAATCAAAGTTGAGAATGTTGGAGAAGCCTCCAGATTTATTCCAAATAAGGTTTAAATACTGTATGCTTATAAAGTTCTTAAAAGTGTAATTAACACCAACAGATCCGAGTCAAGACTTTAGTTTCTACAGTAACATGCACCAAAAATAAGTATTTCTTTTTTAAAAGTGAACATACAATTTCAGATTTTTTTTTTTCTTACCGGTGTGTGTTCGTTTATGAATCTTAAGATTTTCACTCCTGGCAAACACTTTTCCGCATCCAGGGAAAGGACAGGGAAAAGGTTTCTCTCCCGTATGGACCCGTATGTGGTTGACCAGTTTGTATTTAGCCTTGAAGGGCCGTCCATTTCGAGGGCAATCCTGCCAAAAACATATATGATTTGAACACTCGGGACCACCAACATGTTCCACCGAAATGTGAGTCACTATCTCGTGCATGGAAGTAAATATTTTGTTACACGGTTTTTTGGGGCTCTGTTGTTCCTGATCTACCCATAGACACGTCATTTCTTGTTTTATTGGTTGCCGCATGTACCTAAAGAAAGCTCCAGGACCATGGGGACCCATGTTCATATGCCCCATGTTCATAGCGCCATAGGTTCCGGCTAGGTGGTCAGACCTCGGACCACCAATTTGGTTGAAAGTGTCTGGACGTCCATACATGTCAGCACCAGGTAAAGACAATCTGACCTGTCCGTTCATATGTCCAGTGTGGTGGGCCGCAGAGTACTCAAAACCGGGAAAAAGCACATGCGTAGAGGAAGGGTCTCCTGTGTGATGGGCTCCGTGCAGCGTCGCCGAGGAGGGTACAAACATCCCATGATGCGTGGGGCCATTGGTGCCGAGTCCATCGTGGGTACCTAGACTACTGGCTAAAGTCGGCATATGCTCCCTTCGCAGGAAAAAGTCTCGTGCAGCATAGCTACTGACATGGCCATGGTGATGGTGATGGGCATGAGGTCCAGCATAGCCGTTGGCCTGAGCTGCAAACTGGTGGTTTCCCTGTGCGTGGGATCCTGTAGATTCACCTGAAATAGCGTGTGGCGGGCTCAGCTTGAGGGGGCCCATGTGGGCTGTGTCCATGAAGTGGTTTAACATATCCGAGCCGCAGTGGTGATCAGCTGCCGTAGAGTTCAAGGGAAAGGCCGTAGCTACACCATTTACACTCTGTGTGAATACAAGGTCAGAACGAGATAAGACGCGCGAACCGGCTACGTTTACTAGGCGGAATGCCGGGTTTCGAATAGTGAGTCCATGTTTCATAATCTCTCTCTGTTTACCGGCGCTTTGTATAAATGCTTCGCCCCTCGAGACGTACTACAAGTTCTAGTGATTCGTTTACACTGAATCTGACAGTTATTTTCCTACCGGGAATGACAACATGGGGTTAGGTTTTCCTGGTGCTGATTGGCTAGAACGAAGCTAGTGGGCGGAACATCTACCCGTCTTAACAAATCAATAGCTAGCTTTAAATCGTCCCTAGATATTCAGCTAGGCGTGGCTTTAATGGTTGGTTGTCAATCTTATCCAGATTATCGTGGAAGATGTGTAAAAAGCTTAATAATCCCTTTGGCTAATTAGGGGAAAACAATGTTTTAGCTGAAAATTTATGTTGTTTCCTATGCCCTCATATGTTTGTCTAAACCACCCGTGTGCTTGCATCCTTTACTTGAATGTTTGACTACGTTAGTCTACGTATTAATACTTGTCAACATGTAAGTTGACGTAGAATATTTTCATGTATCAATATTTTAAGTTAAGTACCTTGGTATACTTGTGATTTAATGAAAATATATTTTATTCATTATGCTATAATGAAGACAAAATTCCATCCACTAAAGACTAATTTCACTCTTTAATTGAAAGCCTTTAAACAGGTCTCATAGAAATGAACATGGCACATTTTGAGCTGCTATAAGTTAGTAATTTTAACTTATATTTAAGTCTTTTTTATTAAATATTTAGAAAAGTTACTAAACATGAATAATACGAAATGAGCACGTGTGCTTGTTTTGTTTAGAAAAAAAGCAGATAATGTATAAACCTCTTTATTAAGCACGTTTTTTTTTCTATAAAATGGTTACATTAAACATAATGGCGTTATTTCTTTTTATTGTATAAGCATGTAAATAGCATGAGATTAATCTTATTTAAAACTACTGGACATATCAAAACGATATATTTACGATATCATGCTTGTTTATTTTTACAGCAGCTATTCAACTGAAACATCAATGGTTACTTTTTAGAGTGCGTGAGTGGAAGATTCTTACTACTTTTAGAGTATATATAATGCACTCGGGCCGTGCTCAATAATATTTATATAAACTGGATAAATACCTATATACGTTGCTTAATAATATAGTACATTATACAAAACTTAAATGGAAGAACTATTAAAATTCACGTAATTAACACGCGCCGAAGATATCGGATTTTGATATTGCTTATGTGACAAAAAACTCTGTGACGTCTGTGATAGAACCAAACCAGCTAGTTCGTATGTAATTTTCAAATAATTGTGTTTCTACTCTAAAAACGAAACAGAGTAAATTGTGCTGTTATTTCGTGAAGTAAGAAGGAAGGGGTACTTGATTTTACAAGTCATCGAAATAACAATATGTTCGACTCCTTAGTTAGTAGACGGCCTACCTTTAACTTAGAATCCCTTGGGAGATTTGTCAGTCCATTCCTTTGCTAAAGCTGAGATTAAGGATGCTTATTTACTTGATTTTACAAGTCATCGAAATAACAATATGTTCGACTCCTTCGTTAGTAGACGGCCTACCTTTAACTTAGAATCCCTTGGGAGATTTGTCAGTCCATTCCTTTGCTAAAGCTGAGATTAAGGATGCTTATTTACACCTATAGGTCAATAATTCTCACAATGGAATACCATTCGTACTGAGGCAAGTAAATCGGTATGTAAACAGTGTCTAAGTTGCGGGCAATGCACTCCCCCACCCCCCCTCCGTTTTCAACTTCCACAGGTTGTACAGTCTTTTGTCTGGCTTGGCTTGGTTCTTATTACTCTATGGTAAGCTGAATGAAAAAGGCTGACATAAGTTATATCTTGTATACACTACAGAAAGTCAAACAGTTCCTGCTACCGTCCGATTCAACGATAGCTCTCATCATGAAAGTAAACACATTTCCCTCTGGTCTACAGTAATATTATCCCTTAAAAGTCTTGTTAAGAGTTTACCTTCTAGGTTAACGCTGCCGACTCTTTTCACTCTGGGAGTAGAAGAAGTCATTCTTATATTGAAGGACTGGGGAGGGGAAGAAGATATTACAATAGCATCTTAGAAATGATAATGGGGGTTAGTTTAGTTGATCTTTGATTATATGTAAATCTTTCAAATTATGTGTTGAATGATACTGAAAAAGTTTCATTCCGAGGACTAATATTTACCTTACCAATTAAAAATCTTGTTTTCAGTGAGTATTCATTACCGTTTGATATATAATTTATAAGACTTAAAACAATGTAAAATAAATCCAAAGGCTTAACAAGTTTATGTGTTTGTAACTTTAATATACAGTAAAATAATTTTTTTAATGTGTAACTTGCGTGAATGTGCACATAAGTTTTATAATTACGCCGTTTTAAGCGTCTTTAATGTAGCTCTATCTTAATAGCATCCTCCCTATACCGTTTCTGCTGCCATGGACTAACTTCTGTGTAAAGATGCTACTGGCATGCCTTTAGTCCTGCAATAAGCATCTGTGGTGTTCTCAGATGTACTGATTTACCTTTCGGGTAGTAACCGCAAATAACAGAAGCAACAACCAGGAAATGTATTATGGAATTAAACTGGGTCCGACGAATTGAAGAAATAAAGAGACTGCGCACAGTGTGAGAGAGAACATGTAAAATAAAATAACTTTATTTATTTGAAAAACAAGCAAAGTGACGAATGCACAGGTCAAATAGACAGCACTTATACTGGAGATCAGAAGAGATTCCATAGAAAGTTTGTTATTCTGTTCCAGACAGACAAAGCATAGCATTATATACAATATTTAATATTTTGTAAAGCTCCTTAGTGTACATGAGCTAGCCACGTCATGTCAGCCATTCGAAAATAAAAAAAAAAAGGTGAGGGAGAATATATCCTCAAGGTATTACCAGTGAAAAAGTTAGGTCCAGCCTTTACATAGTTTGTCCTACTTTACAGAACAATTTCCCATGAGAAAACACTCCTAACGTAACAGGAGAGCAAGTATGTATGAAAAATTTTGAAACTTCTTGATGAACATAAAATGTTCACATTACTACGTAAAGTGAGAATTACGTTTACTCACATGGTCCAAAGCTATGTACATCTGCTAACATACTTAGTTATTTGTACACTTACTTCTAGTGCTTCATATCCTGAAATAGAGCTTCAACTTACACCACTCGACTCTTCTATACAAATTTTATTAACACGAACCAATTCCTACATACATCTTATATTGGCATGGCTCTAGTCCTGTTCTGGTAATTTCAGCTGGCAGCTAAACATATCTGCAATAAAGGTGGTTCAGTAAATGTTATGTAGATAATAATGTCGAACACGGACACCAGTGAATGAATGAAATAACAATTCTTTATTCACACTACACTGTGTTAACAAACTGGTCAGGCTTCTAATTCATTGACTTTCTGGCAGGCTGAGGTGAGGAGCCAAAAACAAGAGCTAAAACCAAAAGTTATACGTAACGGCAAGATAATTAAAAACAACCCAAAAAATCTAAGCATCAAAATCCAAGTCAGTTGACTTTAAGGATATTTATAAGTCCTAACGTAGTATTTCATAATCCTTAGATTATATACCTCAACCATCACAAGTTTCCAAGCTAGTTAGTATAACTTTCTCTATTACCTGACTTATCATAAAGTTCATACATAGACCTGGACATACTAGTTTGAAACTTATAAACGGAAGTGTAAAAGGCAAAGTACATGTTTATGATCTTAAAAAATCCAGTCAACATAAATGTGATCAGCTACATGCACAAAGTGCATGGAAATTTAGAAGAAAACTACAAAAGCCTATCCACAAGTTATCAAAGTGTAAATACTTATCATCTTCAATCACACACACTTTTTTATGTTACCCGAACTTTTAAGTTAAACATTAATGACTAAATCAAATATAAAACTACAGGTCATAAGATAGAGTAATTCTCTTCTTTATGTGGCACACAAGATGACATAAAATTTATATGAACAAAAAACCCAAAATCTCTATCAGACAGCTAGAATTAAATAAAAGAAATAAAAATACAATTCAAAATTAGTACAAAATAAATTTGACTAAAAATAAATAAAATAAAATAAACTTGATATAACAGGAAATGTTAATAGAAAATAAAGAAAACACGAAGTTACTTATAATAAGTGCACAATGCTGAATAAAAGCGTAAAATAAAAACTGAACACAAAATTAAATGCATTACTTGTGGTATTTTTAGATCAAACTGATATCTTGATAAGTACCTCTGATAGAAATACTTGCAAATAACAGCAGGTCCGGATTAGTGATTTAAGGGATCTTTCCGAGGAAGAGTATTCGAGTGAGTTTTCGATGTTAGTGTGGATAAAAAAAAAGAGAGAACTTGGACACTTTAAATAAAATGAACAAAATGTTACGACAGTGGGGGTCACGTGGCTGAATTAACGTGCAGCAACATTTCTGTAGATCTATATTACCATCA